GGCAGCCATGGCACGTGGGTGGACAGAGGTGGCTGAGGCCATGGTGGAAGATGCAGCGGTGTCCAGCAACAGGACAAGGGGCAATGGGTACAAACTTCACATAAGAGGTTTCAGTTGAACATGAGGAAAAACTTCTTCACTCTGAGGGTGACAGAGCCCTGGCCCAGGCTGCCCAGGGGCGTTGTGGAGTCTCCTTCTCTGGAGATATTCAAAGCCCACCTGGAAGAAGTCCTGTGTAACATGCTCTAGGAAAACCTGCTTTAGCAGGGGGGTTGGACTGGGTGACCTCCCCAGGTCCCTTCCAACCCTTGCCATTCTGTGATCACAAGTCCCTCTTCCAGACGCACCCCGAACAACTCGTAAACCCAGGTAGGAAACAATGTGTGACCAACCACCCACATCTCTTTCCTCAGAGCTGAGAGCTGCAGTGCCACAGTGTGCAATTATTCCTCCTTAAGAATATTATAATAAATTAATATTCTGCAGTGATGTTTGTTAGAAACCGAATCTTAATGAAGGCATAGAAGTCGAAGCAGAGAACTGTTTACAGGCAGCATCAGAAGTTTTAATAATTACCTACCTCTTCTCCTAAGAATGCAACAGTAGCAAATTAGCCAGCAAGCTTTTTCACAGAACACGGCATAGCAGTAGCGTAGCCCATTTGTCTTTATTTGATACATACAGTTGCAGAAATACCATCTCAATAATGATTCTGTACATCCTGTAGATCAAATAGGGGGCATTTATTTTATGGTTTTCTGCAAATATGATTAGCACCACTCTTGTCACTCTGTCAACTCCGCTACACAATGTCTATTTTACTGCTCCTGCCACGAATCCAGATGGCTGCAGATGTGCAGCTGGCAACACGATGTTGCCTGACCCTGTTTCGGAGTTTACACAATGCAGTGCTTGAATTGAGAGGAAGTCCCAAGTGCCCCCATTAGCACAGCAGCCAATGAGCTGAAACAGGAGCAGCAAGAGTGGGAAATTTTAGCAGAAAATTCCTAGTACAGGAAATGCCTACGAGACAGAGGGGAGATTGTATACTTCGCTGTGAAGACAGCAGAGTATAAAAACAGCTCTTTTAGGCATGCAATGGTATTCTGAAAACTAATTGCAAAGTCTATAGGCCAAAGTAAGCCCAGCTACTCTTCTTCAATATGTGACTGTATCTCCTTCCACTCATAAAATAGGGCATAATGGTGTATCTTAACAAGGATCACCTCCTTTGCAAAGAACTATAAAATAATGGTAAACATGTTGCTGGCTTTATCAAGCATCTTCAAAAAAGCTCAAGCAGTGAGAGAAGTGATTTAAGGATGAATGAGTCTATTTAAAAAATTTAGATCTTGTGAAACTTTGACATTGGCTGTCTTCAAGGCAGGCTTTATAAGCGCTGGCATTTGGTCTTCTCTGTGAAGACAATAAAGGGGTATTAAACAAAGTACATAATTAGTATATAAACGTCCAAACATACATTGTGGGGTTTTTTAATCAATGTTGGATGTGATCTCTCATTATTTGAGCAACTCAAGTTATTACTAGAAAGAGAAGTTCACAGTACGCTGCGCCGAAAGGTGCTTTTGCACATTTGGGGATATGATGACCCTTTTAGGTATTCTGGTTGGTGAACTAATTCTTTCAGGCACTACTTTTTTGCCGTTGGCATTCGAGGTTAAAAACACGTGAACTAAACTATGGATACAAAGCAGCCATGTAAACATGACTATTTTCTGGCAGCACGTTCTGCATACACACTCACATATGTAAATGTATTGAGGTTTTTTAAAGAAATAGTCTCTGCTTTATTATTTCCTCCTACTTCTAATCACCCAACAATCACAATCAATCCATAAATAAAAGAAATACTGAGAAAACTGCAATACTGACTCTTGAAACTAAAGTGGTTCAATAAAAAGATTCTATCAGCACCGTCCTCATTTACACACGCTATTCCATCTCCGGAAGGCCTTGCTATTTCAAGTAGCACTGAAGCATGTGATTAAACCCCACCAACACCAAGATAATGAATCCACAATTAGCACATACCTAGATCTTGTATAATTCTTTTCATACACAAGTCTCCTAGTGCTTGACAGAGAGTGCACCCTCAGCAAGTTTACAGATGAGACCAACTTTGGCAGGGACCTGGCCAGGC